CAAGCGAGACTGGGCGGTGCAACCTCTCCTGACAAGAGGTAGCACTGCCTGAGCTCGGTCTTCGAGCTTTGGCAGGCGGTGCAACCGCCCCAGTCAGGAGGTGCAACCGCCTGAGCTCGGTCTTCGAGCTCTGGCAGAGAGGTGCAACCACCCCTGACAGAGTTGCCACCACCCAGAGGCTCAATCTTCGAGCTCTGCCAGGCGGTGCAACCGCCCTAGTCAGGAGGTGCAACTGCCTGATCCCGGAATTCCGGAAATTGACAGTTTTGAGCTCCAAATTTGAACTGGGTTGGGGCCTATAAATACCCCACCCATTCAGCACTGAAAGGGTAAGAACATACACCAAAATCTTGATCCTTTCTGTGATTCTTAGAGCTCAAAATTGTTGTAAAGGCCAAAAGTTCTTCTCCCTCTGTTCTTCAAAGTTTTGAGTTGTAAAGAGATGAGAGAAAATTTCTGTAAGGGTTGTCTCCTAAGCCCATCAAAAGGAGTGAAACTGTAAAAGGGTGGTTGGCCTTCGCCTATTGAAGGAAGGCCTCTAGTTGACGTCGGTGACCTCGTTGGTGGAGGAAGCCAAAAGTGGAGTAGGTCAAGATTGACCGAACCACTCTAAATCTCGGTTTGCATTTACTTTGAGCATTTTATCTTTACTGCAAACCTCCTTAATAGCTTACTGCCCTCTGCGCTTTTAACGAACGAGTTTCTAAGTTCAGAGCTTTCCGAATCTGCGTTTAGACGTAAATCGACTTTTTCGTACGATCATCATATTTCAGTTTACGTTTACGTTTAGACTTCAATCATAACTGCAAACTGCCTTCTGCGCATTTATAAAACATATCTCAAAGTTTAGTATCTTCAGAATTAGCATTTAGACGTAAACTGGTTTTATCGTACGAACGTCGCTTTTCAGTTTGAGCTTGCATTCTGATTTCCATCATAAACTGCAAAATGCCTTCATAGATCTACTTTAACGTCATCTCGCTTAATCTTAAGTTAAAGTAATCTTAGAATTGGCTTTTACATCGAAATCGGTTTTTATCGAACGAACGCAGCTTTCGGTTTTAATCGTCGAAAGATTTCTGCTGCACTAATTCACCCCCCCTCCCTCTTAATGCTCTTGATCCTAACAACATAATCCTGCTCTTGCCTCTGCAAGAGTTCATGTCCTTGACCTCTGTCCAAGGAAAGCACTATGCCTCCGCTTCATGTTTCATCTTCTATGCTAGTTCCCTTCATACGGCTTGGGTACTTCGCCAAGTTACACCCAAGTTACTCCGCTCCTCGTTTTTGCATTGAGTTGATGGTAGCCCTCACGCCCACCATTCCACTGGTCAGCCCTCCCTTGAGTCCGATCTCTATATCGACTCCAAGTGTGCCTTCATTTGTGTTGCTTTGGGTTGCTCCCCCACTTGATCTCGCAATGCATCTACCAATGCATTCTCTCGAGCGAGATCATGCGACGACTCCTCACCGCTTACTCAATCCATTGAGCTTCGTGAAGTTGTTGTTTGTTGAGGTACTCCTCCTCAACTCGTGAGGTCCGTCCCACATGATTTTCCCTCTAGAGAGCCGGGACTTATTCCTCTTGGATAACTATCCCGTTGGAGCAACATCTCTCTTCGTTTCGGAGACCACCATCCCCTTGGACTACTCTGATCTGCTGAACAAACTATGCATTGTTCTGCCTCCTGTAAATGCATTTGCTAGATTGTGACTCCACATCAATACAGCCCCCGCTACACCACTCAAGGCCTAGCAACATGCTGAACTCATTGCATACTTTAGCCTCCTACGGACATATCCTTCACATGCCGAAGAGAAAGTTTCAATGCTCCATGGTGCCAAGTTTCGGTCACCTTGGGATGGCCACGAACATTCCATCGTTCGCATACAAGCCCATGCATGAGTACCAAATTCTTCGAGCTAGCAATTCCCCTCACCTCTATGAGCTTTGCATAACTCTTTTGGTCGTTAAGCAACTCATTCCACTTTGCATGGTCTCATCCTTTACCAAGCGCCTCGCTTGCCTTGAGCACCATCAAGTATAGTTGTCAACGTTGAGCCATAGCTCAAACTCAGCCATCCCAACCTTTGTGCGCTCCGCATTCTTCCAAGCTTGCTTGTTCTCATGGTGCCTCTTGCGTGAAGGGTTGACAATTCCTCTGAATGCCAATGACAGATGCCCGCTCCTCCGAGCGACTCCTTTTCCCTACATCTCCATGCTTGTTTTCCCCTCAAACGGTCGTGCGTATGCTGATTGCCCTCAACGCAGCCCCGCTAGGGCCCCCACATTTGCATGCTAAGTGTTTCTATGAGTGCTTGTCCCGCTCTGATACCATCTGTCACGGACTTAGCTGGTTTTGCCTAAGTCGTGCGGCACCCTTGCGTGTCCGTCCGCAAAGGTCATCCTCCCCGAAGCCTCCCATTGTCCCTTAGGACCAACAAAAGATAGAACGGGTTAGAGAGAACACCTCACTCGGGATCCACAAGCAAACATCTCCGAAAACACTTCACAGACAATGCAAATTACAAACAGACTTTACAAGCTCTGAACAGTTGCACAACAAAGGGTAAAATGATCCACTACAGACAAAAAATCTCTCACACGTGTCCACATGACACAACTTTTATTTACAAGCCTAAAGCGGCCACCAACCCAACTAAAATGGGACTATTAAGCCTTCGGTCGTCCCTCTACATGCTATACAAAGCATGAACATACCAAAAGATACGGACATACATAAGCATTACATCAAACATCCTGTTTCGAAATTTGTCCGTGACAAGAGGGGCCAGAACCATCACCGAAAACTAGCTTGCTAGTGGTGGAAGGCTGCAACAAGGGAACCAAGCAGTAGGAGAACTTGCAGTTGATGGAGGAACCGAGCTGGGAAATGAGGGAGAGTTGCTTGGCTCCAAGTCCCATGAGCCCATCAATCCTGTTGCTGAAGGTGCCGCTGCTCTGATAAGAGCACCCGAAGGTGTAGCTGTCGATCTCTGGAGTAGCAATCGATGGCAGAGTTTAGAAATCAGTGGCAAAGGGCTGCTACTACTTATTCGTTAGTTAGGCAGATCAGAAGAGGAAGAAGTCTATTGTTGTCTTTCGCATAGCAAGCTTCGGCGGTGTAGCTAGTAGCGGCCACCGAGATATGTCCTTCGAGGCAAAGGTTCTCACAAGAAGTTCCTTCTCCCTATCGGTTCCCAGGGAATGATCGTAGGAGGAGGAGGGGCGACCATTTGGTGCAGATCAGGCGATGGCTATTAGCAAGGAAGAAGGGGGAGCAATGCTGGTAAACACAACATTAGAGGCATCGCAGCGAAGAGGATATGAGATCTTATGTTGCTAACAGAGGGCATGTTGGGCTATAGTGAGCATACGTTGGCACAAAGCGACAGCGAGAGAAGATAGGCGTCATCCATCAAAGAGGAAAGCGGTGATATGATCATTGATGGCCGAAGGTGGCAGTACTTGCGCTTCCTTTGGGAGCATCATCCATGAGAAATAAGTGAAGATTTCGGAGACCACGCTGCTAGTATTGGGCCTAGCAATGATCTGGTTTGGAGAATGCTTTGGAGAGAGGAAATTGGAGATTGCTCTGGAGTATAGGCAATGATATGGTCTTCTCCCAAGAAGGAGCTATTTGTAGTGCCGTAGAGATTAGAGAGCTACAGTAGTTCATTCCCAAACGAGAATTACGATACAAAAGATGATGAATTAGAGTACGATACAAAAGATGATGAGAAGTTTATTAACATGTTTCTTATTTATACAGGTGAGGAGGAAGAATTTTTCTCAACAAAGTAATGAGATTTTTTCATGTAGTCGAAAAAATCTTATCTGCTATCATCTACATCTTCAACTTTCGAAGCTTTGGATTCTTTGAGCTCTGTTTTCACTAATAATAACAAAGCACGAAACATAATCTTTTCTCTTGATAACTTCAAATTTTAATTTTTGATATTTGTAATTGTGATATGATGCTGATAAAAACCACATATTTTGGATAAATTTCCCAAAAAAGTTGAACTATCCCTTTTCTTGCATGGCATATTCCGTTTTCAAAATTTACATAAACGCCCCAATGATTAAAAAATGATAATTTTATTCTGAAGAAGTGTTCTTTTGAACATTATCTTTCAGACAGTTTGTTTCCCGTAATTTATTGGATAATTTCCATAAATATGCTTCTTACCACAGTAACTACGTGAACGACCTAAATTCTCCTACTTTGTGCACGTCTTTTAACCTAATTTATTGACCATGAAACGGGTGATACTAGACGCCCAAGTATCGAGATAGAGGTGATGATACGACACTTCATGTGACTCAGTTATTCTGCAATCCCCATGGCATATATCTTACGGATCTCATGAGAGTATCCTGCGCAAGATGGCTGCAGGTCGGCAACTAATTTTGTGGCTTGTCCAGAGGACATGGGACCCAATTATGTGACTGCACGGTAGTAGCAGTAAGTGTTCCTGCCAGTCTCTCCTGCTGAGCGACGAAAGACTAAGGGGCCTATCCGTAGGAACGTTGGGACCCACACGATGGGTTTCTCCACACAGTTAAATTTATGAATTTTAAAATAAATGATGGAAGGCGGGAACAATTAAAATATTTATCAGTTAAAATAGCTGACGACTCCAAATTTACGAACTCACACCGCCTTTTACTGAAGGGTTAAACGGCGGGGCGGTTTGTGACGACGCCACCACAAGTGCGCCCCCTTTGTTTGCGAAGAATAAAAAGCCGGAGCGGTTTCACAAGGCAGACGGCTGTTATTAGAGTTTTGAGGGACTAATTTAAGGCCACGCAAGGTATGTGCGTCATCCACTCCAGGCTTATCGACATCGATACCTTGCTTTGGTCCCAAGCAAATAAGAATGATTTGCCCAGGCTTATCGATATCGATACCTTGCTTTGGTCCCAAGCAAGTGGATGATTTGCCCGCCCTTCCGTCTCTCTCTCGCCCCATCCGCGAAGGTGCAGCCGCTTCCCTTCGTCGTCTTTTTTTTTCCCCGGTTTTTACAGTTTACTCCACAGATTTGCTACTAACCAAAACTTAAAAGTAGTTCTTTTCCAACAAAGAGATAGCAAAAATGAAAATTTCTTCGGCGGCACAAATAATTCTCTCCCGTGGCAGTTATGGTGTCATTCTCTTGTTTGTTGGAGTCTGCTTATCTGTGTTTGTGTCATAATGCAATTATAGCCCCATCGTTCTTCGCAGTTGCTTTGGATTGTCCGAGTTTGTCGTTGGCATGTGCGGAAGAGAAAAAAAATGATTCCTTTATGTTGATTCGCTTAGTGCGTATAATTTTATTTGATTTCATGGATTGGCTTGCCAACGTAGCGTGTCTCGGTAGGGGAATGCTTGTTTTCTTTTTCTTTATTTTTTATGGGAGGGGTTTTTTTTTTGGGAGACAGGGTTCATTGTTTCCTCCTCTGCAATGCTTTGTTTTCTGCAATTAATGATTCTGATTCGTTGCAATCTGTCCGCGTTATATTCTGACTCAGGTACTTGCAACCCACGTCTTCTCTTTTTATTTTGCCTCCTAATCCGTGATTCAGAACTGTAAGAGAATAAAAATCATTTTGGAAACGAATATAAAAAACTACATTTAGATGAGTATACTTCAACTGTTTCTTCAACATGGTCTGGTATTAATTCTTGTCATTTGGATTTCAGATTATATTTCTGGACGTACTTCGCTGATCATGTATTTGATGAGCTCTTCCTGTTTGATTGAATGCTGCTAAGGAAACAGTCAATATATCCATTGGAATGTTTGACTTGTTTTATCTATAATATGGAGGAAAAACCATTCCCAGCGTGGTCTAGATCTGTGGAGCATTGCTTGAAAGAGCACAATGTCAAATTGGGCAAGGGTTTAAGTTCTTTTGAAGCTGAAAAGAGGCGGGAGATGTACGGATGGAATGAGCTTAAGAAAGAGAAAGGAAAACCTTTGTGGCGTCTGATCTTACAACAATTTGATGATATGCTTATCAAGATTCTCCTTGTGGCTGCATTTATCTCGTTTGTACTTGCTTACCTGGAGGGAAATGAATCTGGCCACACAGAGCTTGAGGTGTATGTGGAACCACTTGTGATCTTTTCGATTCTTATCATTAACGCAGTGGTGGGTGTCTGGCAGGAGACAAACGCTGAAAAGGCCCTTGAAGCCCTGAAGAGCATGCAGTGTGAATATGCTAAGGTTCAGAGAGATGGGCGCTATATTCCTGACTTGCCTGCCCGAGAGCTAGTCCCGGGGGATATTGTGGAATTAAGGGTTGGAGATAAGGTCCCTGCAGACATGAGAATAGCAACTTTAACTACCTCAAGTTTCAGAGTTGAGCAAAGCTCGTTGACCGGGGAAAGCATGCCAGTGATCAAAGGGACAAGCCCTGTGCTTTTAGATGATTGTGAATTGCAAGCAAAAGATTGCATGCTGTTTGCAGGAACTACTGTTGTCAATGGTGGCTGTATTTGTCTCGTAACTAGCATTGGTATGAACACCGAAATAGGAAAGATTCAGGCTCAAATCAGTGAAGCTTCACAGGAGGAGCAAGACACACCCCTCACAAAGAAGCTAGATGAGTTTGGTGAAATGCTGACTACTGCAATTGGGATAGTTTGTTTGGTAGTTTGGGCCATGAACTTCCGGAATTTTATAACTTGGGATAGTGTAAACACATCAATGTGGAATTTTTACTTTTCATTCGAGAAATGCACATATTATTTCAAAATATCAGTAACCCTTGCCGTAGCGGCTATTCCTGAAGGTCTTCCAGCTGTAATCACAACATGTTTAGCTTTGGGTACTAGGAAGATGGCTCAAAAACATGCAATAGTTAGGAAGCTTCCAAGTGTGGAAACTTTAGGATGTACAACTGTAATATGTTCAGATAAGACTGGAACACTAACAACCAACCAGATGTCTGTGAATGAATTCTTTACTGTCGGTGAGAAGCTGTCTACTATTCGAGTGTTTCATGTAGATGGTACAACATACAATCCAAAGGATGGAGGAATAAGTGGTTGGTGCAACCGCAACATGGGTGAGAGCTTGCAGGCTCTAGCGGAGATATGTGCAATCTGCAATGATGCTGGAATTTATCGTGACGGTTATCTTTTCCGTGCTACAGGTTTGCCTACAGAGGCAGCTCTCAAGGTTCATGCTATATACAAATTGACTTGCATTTATCATACAAGCATGTACCATTTTACATAGATTACACTGTGAAATGATTACTTATTCAACATTACACCCTAATGAACTCATGATAAAATATGTTACATATTTTTTGCAGATATTTGAATGTAATGTGCGAAAATAAGTGTAATGGTAATAGAATGTAAAGCGACTAGTGAATAAACAATGTAATTATAAATTTTGAAGTGCATCTGAATAATGCTAACCAAGTTTGTGCAAAGTAAATAGTAACTGCATAATGGTAGACTGCATGATTACTGTTTGAGGGCAGATTTATAATAAAGCACTGAGTAAGATATTTTATGCATTTCTTATGATACATAATTGAAATTTAATGTTGTATATTTCTAGAACAACATAGTGCCTTCAATAAAGTTATGTGGCATTATATCGAATTATACATAACCAACTTTGAATGTTTACCAAAATTTCTCATCTTTCCATATAAACAATAAAAAACTATGCATTTCAAGCAAAAAGCAGTTAAACAAACAATTTTTTCTATTTTTATTGTTTATTGTTATTCTGAATTTTTAAATTAGCCCATGTATCTTATCTTTTCTATATATTTTTATTCTTCTCATGCATCATAAATTATCTGATAATATTATCCTTCTTAAAGGTACTGGTTGAGAAGATGGGACTTCCAGGTGCAAAAGTAAGGAACAGATTTCGTGACACAGAGTTTGCTTCTGACTTTTCCATCAACCATAATACTATAAGATTAGGTGAGGAGAAATATGTTTTTCTCTTTGGTCTTTCAGACTATATTAATTGTCAAGAAAATTTCTTTTTCTGATTCAATTATTTCTGCGACAGACTGTTGTGAGTGGTGGACAAAGAGATCTAAGAGGCTTGCGACATTGGAGTTCGATCGTGTGCGCAAGTCTATGAGTGTTATTGTCCATAGACCAACTGGAAGCAACCATCTTCTTGTGAAGGTGCTTGGTCGTTATGATTTACTTCTATTGCATTTGGATTAGAGTAAAATTCTATTTTCTGAAAAACCTCTAATTGTCTTTAAGTCAGTCTTAAGTCTCAACTATTTTGTCCCCATTACTCTATAAATCATCTCTCCCTCCTTTTTTTTGAAGTTGAAAGGAGGTACATCCTGCATTTATTTCATGAGAATTAAACTACTAGTAATAGAAGTGAAAGACACAAGACCTGTTGTTGGCCATATGGCTCTAATCTAAGAAGCACGAACACATGCTTTTGGTGGACGTGTCCGTGTCCGACATGGGTCAGACACGAGACACGACCGAACATATGTTCAACATGTCTCCAGCTGTCTTTTTTATTTATTCTGATTTCTATTTGAGGGACATGGCACCGCTCCCACTTCACTCCTAGGCGCTTCATCGTGTGGCCCTCACATGCGGTGCTACACTCAGATTCTGCATGGAGACGAATTGTCGACATTGAAAGGAAAAAAATCTAGAGATTAGTGATTTCAATAGGCGCTCGGGCGAGGCGAGGCGTGGCCCGAGCGCCTCGTTTCACTTCCAGACGGCGCGCTTCAAAGAGGTGTCGTCTGGGCACTTCGGGCGAGCGCCTGGGTTAAACCAGGTTACCGAACCAACGTTTTAGGTCTAGTTTGGTCTCCGGTGCTTTAGTTGATTCAATCAAACCAACTAAACCACCTATATCAGTTGCCGTTGCCCAACCCTAACCCTGCTCGCGTTCACGCTACCGCTGCTACTGCTCGTTGCCGCTCGCCGCTCCCGCTCCTGCTACCGTTGCTCGCCGCTACCGCCGCTCGCTCTCGCTCCTGCTGCCGCTGTCGCCGCTCCTGTTGCTCGCTGCTATCGCTCCCGCTGTCGTCACCGCTGTTGTCGCTCGCCGCACCCGCTCCTGCTGTCGCTGCTCGCCGCTGCTGCTGCCATTGCCACTGTCGTCGCTCGTCGCTCTCACTACCGCTGCTCACTTTTACCGCTGTCGCTGCACCCTCGGTTTTCCCTTACACACTCCTCTTCCTTCTCCTCTTTCGAAAGTATACTGTTAACAATATACTAGTAATAGTAATGTATTTGTATTTATTAGATTAATAATATATTATTTTGATTTTAATACTGTTAATTTTTATTTATTTGAAATTATTGTTAGGTTTCAGGATAAATGGGAAGTGTACAGAGCAACTCAATAGAGTCTCCAATGACATCAAAAAAAGATCCTGCATGGAAGTATAATTATATGAAGGATCCGAAAGATCTTAATGCAATGACTTACATATTCTGTGATAAGATTACTAGAGGTGATATTTTTCGTGCAAAATAACATCTAATAGGAAATTTCAAGAATGCAGCAGTTTACAAAAAGTGTCTACCTGAGGTAGTGATTTAAAAAGCGCTAGGCGCCAAGGTCTAAAAACGCCCGAGGCGCTAGGCGCTCGCCCGAGCGAAGCGAGGCGCTAAAATATAAAAATATAAAAT